AGGAAATGATCGCAGGGGACCTATCTCCGAAATATATCTCTTGGACACTAAAAGATAGACGAATACGCCTGACTACATAGTTAGTCTTATAGACTAAAGTCTCCTGGACTAAAAAGTAAATACATGACTTCCAGAATATACAGGTACTTGACCTACAGAAGTTCTTGACTTACAACAATAAGGTTCTTGACCTAATGCTAGATAATCCTGAGAAAATGAGTTATTCACAGATTACTATAAAGGAGGGGGGGTACATTATTTAAATCTGATACCCTAGCCGATACGTTTAGAGCAGTAACACCAGGAGTAAGTCTGTATATGGTCAAAACCGCCCCATGATTATCTACAGGCGAATCTACGTCACACATCAGCAGAGCGATCCGTCAAGGTCCAGTGATTCCAGGCGATAACTACAACCGTAACGATGAGCAACGCAATATATTCTTCTCTTAAGCGTGAAGCGCGGACTTCGGAGAAGACAATCACCCCTAGCCAGCTGTGCTTTTAAGTATGGAAAACACGAATAGCAAACAAACTACTTAACCAATATCAGATACATAGGTATCAAACTATAGGGCTGAACATGAGCCACTCAAAGTTACTGTTACACCTTTGCAGGCAGATATGTAAAATAAGTAAGATAGCAGAAAATGACTATAACTACATTAGAAATATCTACATAGGACTCAATAATCCTGCTTCTGAGTGAAATTAGCAGTTACTAAAACACTTTCAAGATGTGAATATATAGAAGATAACATATATCACATCAACACATGATAAGAGCATAAGATTAAAATGCTAGAGAATGTATTTTTAGACAACACTCTAGCGCTAGCCTGACACAACGTCCAAGAACTGAAGCTGGGCGGCAGACCGCCGGACCGTGATGAGTATGGATGCGCTAAGATCACTGGACCGTGATGAGTATGGAGGCGCTAAGATCACTGGACCGTGATGGGTATGGATGCGCTAAGATCACTGGACCGTGATGAGTGTGGAGGCGCTAAGATCACTGGACCGTGATGAGTATGGATGCGCTAAGATCACTGGACTGTGATGGGTATGGATGCGCTAAGATCACTGGACCGTGATGAGTATGGATGCGCTAAGATCACTGGACCGTGATGAGTATGGATGCGCTAAGATCACTGAACCGTGATGAGTATGGATGCGCTAAGATCACTGGACCGTGATGAGTACGGAGGCGCTAAGATCACTGGACCGTGATGAGTGTGGAGGCGCTGAGATCACTGGACCGTGATGAGTATGGAGGCGCTAAGATCACTGGACCGTGATGAGTGTGGAGGCACTAAGATCACTGGACCGTGATGGGTTTGGATGCGCTAAGATCACTGGACCGTGATGAGTATGGATGCACTAAGATCACTGGACCGTGATGAGTATGGATGCGCTAAGATCACTGGACCGTGATGAGTATGGAGGCGCTAAGATCACTGGACCGTGAGGAGTACTGAGGCGCTAAGATCACTGGACCGTGATGAGTATGGAGGCGCTAAGATCACTGGACCGTGATGAGTATGGAGGCGCTAAGATCACTGGACCGTGATGAGTATGGAGGCGCTAAGATCACTGGACCGTGATGAGTGTGGAGGCGCTGAGATCACTGAACCGTGATGAGTATGGAGGCGCTAAGATCCCTGGACCGTGATGAGTATGGGTGCGCTAAGATCACTGGACCGTGATGAGTATGGATGCGCTAAGATCACTGGACCGTGATGAGTATGGAGGCGCTGAGATCACTGGACCGTGATGAGTATGGAGGCGCTAAGATCACTGGACCGTGATGAGTGTGGATGCGCTAAGATCCCTGGACCGTGATGAGTATGGATGCGCTAAGATCACTGAACCGTGATGAGTATGGAGGCGCTAAGATCACTGGACCGTAAAGAGCTGGCTTTTACGACCCGCAAACAAACAACCATGAAGATAATTTGTGGGAGTGTTACGTTGTCAGGTAACATTGTGACAACGTTGCGTCACAACCACTGGTGTCATACGTGGTTTCATTTGTTCGTAAACAAAAAACTATTGGGAGTATAATATTATACTTTTCAAACCTAAAACATATCTATAAATTGAAAATGAAAACAATTGATTTCACACATTTGCAACAGAGTTCAAGAAAGCTCTGTCTCATGGCAGCCATGTTCAAAGTAAGGTAGACCTCTCAGAAAAACACGTCACAAAATCAACTCTATTTACATGGATTGTTTTTGTTTGTTTGTTGTTTAACGCCTCACTCAGCAATATTCCAGCTAGATGACGGCGGTCTGTAAATAATCGAGTCTGGACCAGATAATCCAGTGATTGATATCATGAGCATCGGTCTACGCAATTGGGATACGATGACGTGCATCAGCCAAGTCAGCGAGGCCGACCACCCGATCCCGTAAGTCGCCTCGACGACAAGCAAAGTCGCCTTTTACGGTAAGCATGGGTTGTTGAAGACCTATTCCACCCCGGATCTTCACGGATCTTATATTTACATGGGAATTAACAAGAACTTCATATAAATATCAGCACTGCCAAGAAGTGATGAGAATATATGACAGGCATGTCAATCATGAAGACTTTAGTGTATAACAATGCAATGTTGTAGGAATGTTGCTGGAAAGGTTTTTTGGAACGTTACACCATAACGCCGTGGAAACATTAAGAAAACCGTGACAACGTTGTACCGACGTTTTTGGTTTGGATTTGATGGGCAGGAATTACTTTGCTTTTAATCTACATGTATTGATTCAACCTCAACGTCTCCAATAGGTTAAGACATTTAGGATGTGTGGTGATGGGTAGACAAACATGACCGCAAATCATTTTGCACTATTTCATAAATGGGGCGGTTTACACCGACAGTGTCTTCATACGCGGTTTCCAAAACATAATTCATTTATATTACGTCTTCACCATCGATTACCTAAAGAATGGCATGATAATACTCGTTTGTTTACAAATCATAAATATCCCATGCTAGAAACGCAAAACGCTCTAATAATACATTTTCTATTCCTTATTTATGGTATTGATCACACGGAAGCAGTTATCTCTGTATTATTCCATATGATTATATTATGATGTACAATTGTTTACAGTCGGAAAGGTGGACAACCAATAGAGACAGGAATAGTCCTGCACATTCATACTTTGTCAAATCATGCATGTTAGCTTCAAGACTCAATCTTTATAAAATCGCTTTCTTTTTAATCCGTCAAAAAAAGAAAGAATGTCACAATATATTAATGTGTTATGGATTATTCTGCAATATGCAAAATTCAAATACGTTTAGTGGTATTATGATTTGTTTGTTGTTTAACGCCGCACTCAGCAATATTCCAGCTATATAACGGCGGTCTGTAAATAATCGAGTCTGGACTAGACAATCCAATGATTGATATCATGAGCATCGATCTACTTAATTGGGATACGATGACATGCATCAACCAAGTCAGCGAGCCTGACCACCCCATCCCGTTAGTCGCCTCTTACGACAAGCATAGTCGTCTTTTACAGCAAGCATGGGTTGCTGAAGATTTATTCTACCCCGGATCTACCCGAGTCAAGGGTATTGTGAAAAATAAGAGAAGTAGTAAGCCATCACAGTCTATTAGCATGGAGAGATGGTTTGACTATTTTCAGTATGTAGCAACTGAAGAAAGTAACTTCATTTAAAGTTCAATGAAAAATAGGTTTATTCATGAATCAACTAAACCATCTGTCAAAGTATGTCCTCGAAGTCGTCTCCTCGACTTTAAGGTCGTGATTCACTATTAACCTAATTAGTGGCAGAACAGTACGCAACCGGTTGCGGGGACACAACATCCGACGAACCCCCCAATTCTGCTTCCTTTGTCAGACACGCCTCCCTCGGTGCAGGCAGCATCTGAGGTTCAGAAAACAAGACTGGGACTGTTCATCACAAATGAGTCCAGGTTTCATCTGGACATCACTGATGGCCGTGCAAGGTCTACAGGCGTCCAGGAGAACGTCTTAGCAACGCTTGTATTACTCAACATCGCCAGTTTCAGGATGGAAGTGTAATGGTATGGCGTGGCATCACAACTCATGGTAGAACTCATCATTGCTAATGTCAATTTGAATAGCTTGCGCTACCGAAACGAGATCGTTCGAGATCATGTTCAACCCTTTGTGCAAATGCAGGGACGTCACGTTACAGCAGGATAATACCCGCCCACATGTCACCCGTGTTCTAACATACCCCTTGAAGCAGCATAACATTGCTGTACTGCCATGGCCGGGTGTTTCTCCAGACCTCTCCCTCACAGAACAGGTATCGGATAAGATGGAACGTAATTTCCAAGCTCCCATTTTCCTAAATGTTGGTGTTTATATTCCGTTAAACACGAAGGGGAGTTTATCTGGGCGCAATAATAATAGGGGCATGACACTTCTTAGTGTTTTTAGTAAAATCTATCATTCCATTATGAACAATAGATTAGTGTTTTGGTCAACGCTTACGATACGTGTTCACAAACATTCCTGAAGCCCCTCTGGAAGAGTGCGAGAAGGTCCTGAGGGACTTTGTTAAGCATGAACTCCACATGGATAGTGATTCTATCAAATTCAAACGGGTACACAGGATCGGTCGTAAAAACTATCAAGCAGGACCTGATGCACGGCCCCGCCCACTCATAGCCAAGTTTCTGTACACTCATGAGAGAGATGCAGTTAGGGGGGCGGCTAAAAGGTTGAAGGGTACAAATTACAGTATCAACGAACAGTTCCCGGAAGAAGTGGGTAAATACAGAAGGGAAGTATTAATGCCACTACTGAGGGAAGCAAGGAGTTCTGGCAAGAAAGCGCACATATCTGTAGATAGACTCTTTATTGATAATGTACCGCAGAAACCTGCTATACCACCCCCGTATCGGGCCCCCCAGCAGAGCTCATCTGCACAACCCAAGCCGAGCCGCGCGTAGGAATACGCTGGTGGACAGAAGGCGATCACACCATGTCACCAGCCTGTCACCAAATATGCCCAACCACATACAGACAGTGTGACTGCCTCTGACAGCGACGTGTACAGGCATAACCGTGTACTGCAGGATATTCCGGTGAGGCAATTTCATTCTGTATGCTGTAGAGTATCAAATACTGTTGGTAACTGCGATAGCCTGCCAAGTGTAGACCACATGGTGTGTGACCCTGTGGACATAGTGCACAGGGAGGAAACTCTTCATAATGTTTTATGTCATACCCCAATTGGGATCACTAAGACACTGCCTGACTCCACTGTGTCAGCTGATGACTCTGTTTGTATGAAGTGGGTTGGTGATGAAACCCCACACTATCATCATACCGAAAAACATGACGCTGTCGATGCGATCGAGACCAGTGATGTTGGTTGCGCTACACTCAGTCGCAATGTTGAACTGAGAACAACGGAAGATTATGCCATAAATATGAATAGTGTTCGCAATATTGATGACTCTAGTTTTAACACTTCCAACGATGGGACTCCTAAACTGCCTAACAAACACCATTATACTGTAAATACATGTATACCACCACTAAGCATTACTAAGGACAATATCCAAGCTTCTGACAATCGCCCTACTTCTTTGCACTTTTTAAATTTGAATGTGTGTGGAATAAGGAGGCGATTAGAATACCCCGAGTTCATGGATCTAATTGATAACAATGATATACTAGGCTTCCAAGAAACCAAAACTGATATATTCGATGATATCCATATTGAGGGTTACCATGTCTATCTCCAACATAGGAGCAGTGCTTTAAGAAGATCTGGAGGTGTCGGTTTTGCAATAAAAGCAAATTATGCTAAATATGCCAACCCCATTGAGGAAATGTGTGAGTATTTTCTCTGGGTTAAAATCTCTAAGGAGCTATTTGATATCGAGCAAGACCTGTATTTAGGAGTAGTATATATTCCACCCGAAAATTCTAAATACTTTAATAAAGATGAATACTATCAACTTGAACAATCCATATTACATACTCTATCCTTGAGTGATTATGTTGTACTGATGGGCGATTTTAACGCTAAAACTAGTAACCTGTGTGAATATTGTACCATAGAGAAACACATTCTTGATGAGTTGGATATAGACATAAATTATTTGAGATCTGAACTCGAACTTGAAGCAGTACTCGATGATCTTTCTCTTCCAAGGGTTAGGTCGTAAAAAGATACATCACGAGTTAATAACTCGGGTGCAAAACTGATAGAACTATGCAAGAATCTGAACTTATTTATATGCAATGGGCGTATGGGTCAAGATAAAATGGTTGGGAACACTACGTGTCTGGACAAGAGTGAGATCGATTATGTAATCTCATCGACAATGTGTCTTCCTTTATTTAAGGATTTTGAAATTAAAAGTTACTGTTCATTGTTTTCTGATGTACATTGCCCAATAAGGTTTTCTCTAGATAAATCAAAATGTTCAGAAAGTCAAAACCGCACTACAAAAACAGTGAAAAATAAGACGGGCTGTGAACCTAAGCCCAAAGGATTCGAGAATACAAAAAGCCAGATATATTTTGATAATATCGATAGAGACCGGATTGATTGTCTTGTCAAATTAGCAAAGTCATTAGGTTTGGGAGTTGCTGAACCAAGCACTATGAATGATATAGCAAACGAAATCGCACATGTCCTAGTCGACGCTGCATGTGCAACATTCGGGGTGAGATCTTGCTACCGGCGTGATGCGGACGCTCCCACTAAGAGAAAGCAAAAACCTTGGTTCGGCCACGAATGTAAAAAACAAAGGAACTACTTCCGTAAGGCTAAAAAGAAATTTAAGAAAACTAACACTATTGAAAATAGAAAGCTTTTCCGAGAGCAATCGAAGGCATATAAGAAATGCTTAGACAAACATATCAAGAAACATAGAAACGATTTATGTAATTTATTCAGAGCCAATCGAAAACATAGTCCACGTGAATTCTGGAACACTCTGAACAAAAATAAGAGTAAGGTAAATAACATTGAGCCTGCTATCGAAACATTTTATGAATTCTATAAAGATATAAATAAAGACATGAATACAGACACAATTATTGATGAAGAATATCCAAATTCTACTATGCACGATGATGAAATGCTCAATAGTGATATCACAATAGAAGAAATACGCAAAGCTGTAAAAAGCCTGAAAAATAATAAAGCTTCTGGTATAGATCGCATTGCAAAGATGCATGGCTAACCGGTGTGATCAAGCCAGTATTTAAAAAGAAAGGTAACCCACTAGATCCAAACTCCTACAGACCAATCACAATTTTGAGTGTCTTGGGGAAACTTTTTACGAGAATAGTAAATACACGATTGTCATCTTTCACTGATAACAATAGCATCCTGTCTCCCGTACAAGCTGGATTTAGGAAAAACTACTCAACAGTAGACAACATGTTTATCATCAATATGTTAATGCAGAGCCTTAAGTATAGCAAACAAAAGTTGTATTGTGCTTTTGACAAAGTGTGGAGAATAGGTCTTTGGCACAAACTGTTGAATAGTGGCGTCAGGGGTACATTTTTCATCCTAATTAAAAATTTGTACAACAGTATTAAATCGTGTGTTGTTGTTAACAACGAAATATCAGCTTTTTTCCCAAGCCTTTCGGGAGTTAGACAAGGGGAAAATTTATCCCCATTACTATTTTCATTGTACATAAATGACCTCGAGCAATCTCTATTGGAACATAACTGTCACGGTATAAATGTTGATTATAATCTTGGTGATGACGCAAACGTATTATTACAATTTATAACTTTACTGTTTGCTGATGACGCAGTCTTATTTAGTCGATGCCCCGCCGATTTACAGAAAACCCTTGACTCGTTTAAATTATACTGCACTAAATGGAAACTAGATGTTAACATTTCAAAAACAAAAATTATTATATTTGGCAGTGGTCCTGCTAAACGAAGTAAACTCCAGTTCATGTTTGGTGGAAAACACCTCGAGATAGTAGATAGCTATGTTTACCTTGGCATAACATTCCATAGAAATCGAAGGGTGATAAGCGCAATCAAATCTATTGCCTCTAATGCCAAGAAAGCTATGTTCTGTCTCCTGAAGAGAGCACGAAATATCAATCTACCTCTCCATTGCGTTATATCGGCGTTTGATTCTATGGTATCACCTATCTTGTTATATTGTACAGAAATATGGGGGTACGAAAATTTACAAATTATTGAGCGTGTCCATTTAACATTTTTAAAATTTTAAAATTTGCATCAACTCCAAACTTTATGGTTTATGGCGAATTAGGCAGGGAACCTCTACGCATAACTATCTCAAAACGTGTAATTAAATTCTGGCATAACATCGCAACACCTATGTGTGATAAGAAACTTTCACAAATGATTTATCACATTGTTGAAAGGAATCATGATGTAAGCAATCCCTGGCTAGAATGGATTAAAACTATATTAAATAACTGTGGACTAACTCATATATTCTATAACCCTTATACTTGTAATACCACATGGCTGGTTGCAAAGGTAGGCCAGATACTACAGGATCAATTCCTACAAGAATAGAGATGCAATATGGCATTGAGCAGTAAAGGCTACTGTTATCAGTATCTGACAGAAAAACCAAAATTTGAAAGATACCTACTAATGACAAAAAATATGTATATTCCAATCTTAAAATTCAGAACATGTAACCATAATTTACCTATTGAAACCGGCCGTTGGAATAATGTAAAGAAAGAGGATCGTGTATGTGAACTGTGCAACTCTCCTTCAGTTGCAGACGAATTCCATTATCTGTTTAGATGCCAGGCTCTGTCAAAACATAGAAGTGTATACTTACCAACTGCTTACCAAAATAATTGGTCTAATTTATATACATTCAAGAGGTTATTATCCAGTCAAAACACGAGGTATCTTAAAAACCTATCGAGATTTATTGATGAAATATTTAAAGCAGTAAGAAAACACAAAACAGAAAAGATATAACATATTCATGCATGACATACTGTCATCTTGTCACATATTAATACTTTGTTTACATGCTTGTACGTTTGTACTCTTTTGTACCACCGACGGTGGTTTGGAGAATAATAAACTGAACTGATAGGATCGAGGAATCACAAGCAGGTTTCGGGAAGGAATATAGCACGCTGGATACCATGTTCGTGCTTCAGTCTAAAGTTGAACGTTTACGCTGTCTTCGGAATTAACGGGTAACATATAGGCTCTCTTCGTGGATTATCAGAAAGCCTTTGATCTCGTGGATGTTGTACGTTATGGTCTCTGCCTAAACGGAATAGTGTGTCTTACAAGACGTTAAGGCATTACAGTATATTAATGATAGCGTCAAGGCTTGTTTAAGGTTTAAGGGTTTACTGCAGATCAGTTCAACTGTAGTTGGCCTCCGTCTTAAGTCCCCTTCTCATCTCTCTTTTCAAAAATGAACTTGCCAGGATATTGGAAGTTCATGTTCACCTGGTTTGCTGTTAAATCCCAATTTGGTAGAATTATTTGTCTTCCTGTTCTCTGATGATGTATGCTTTGTTATCGGTTACGGCGATAGGTCTACAAAAAAGCCTGGGGTCGGTTTTATAAGCAGTACTGTTTGTCTATTGATCTTGTATTCAAAAATGGAGAAACTTCATCTCGGTGTGAAAAAAATGGTATTTTGACGATAACCGGTTAAATTGTGTCCCAGGATATACATATATATTTAAGAGTAGTATTCTCTAAACTTTATCATGGAAAAACACATACATGATGCTACATTACAAGCCAAAACAGGTCTATATTGAATATATAAATTATTCCCAAGTCAATACATTACGATATTTCTTAAAATATGTGCCTCGAAGATAAGTCTGACAGTGTACGGATCTTAACTTTGGGGCTTTGAAGATTATAGAAATGCAAATGAATCTGTGCTTCTAGCAGCCTGTAAACGTTTTCTCCATTTTAAGTCAAATATCAAATCATGTTATTTACAGTAAATGTGGTTATTATTCAGTACACATTAGTCTTGGGCACAAAGAATATGTTTACAAGAGTTGAATATTTTTCAAAACGACAAAACCATTTCCATATTAATAGGAAATCTCGTTGTAGA